TGTTTATTTACGTGATGAGCTCAGATTAATTTTTGATCTCATAATTTACAGTAAATTGTTATTAGAAGCAAAGGCATAAAGGATTTATCTTTATTATTTGTACAAAGAAAGTAAGAAAAAGACTTCTACAAGTCTAGTACCTAATGTTAATAAACTAATTGTTGAAGTTTGACAGCAAAATCTGACCTGCAACTTGTAACTCAAAAGCAGATCAGCATTTGTATAATCAGTCTGAGTAATACAATTCTGCAGAAGATTAAAAAGGAGCATAGGGTATGAGTTTCTAGGAGAAATACCCCGCAAGATCATTCTCCACAGTGAGAACAACTGATGGCCTGGGTACAAACACTGGGATTCTCCCAGGAACAGTAACTTCTCTGCACAGTGTATCTGAAAGTGAGCTATTGCTTCAGTCTTTGGCCGATTTTGTTTTTCCTAAGTTAATTTCTTGCCTCCATCCCCCACTCTCCACGCAAGTAAAGAGTCTTGAGATATTCATGAGAGGAAACTGCTAGAAAAAAAGGAATGTGGAGTTGACACCTCAATTCATGGTGATCAGAACAAAATAAACATGTCCAACTCTAACAACCTGACAGACGGAGGCCACTCTGCAGCAATGGTCAATAGGACATTATGTACCTTGCCCATAGCTTAAAAAGCCATGAAAACGTACACGATCACTTGATGTTATCAACTGCCCCACTATTGAATGGCATGCACTGAGAGCAATATTGGACAGGTTGTGGAATGCAGATGGCTATCCAAAACTACCAAACTGAAAGGGAAGCTTAACAGGAATTAAAACACATTTTGTTCATACACCCCCTTTCCCATCCTTCCTACTGTCAGATACTCTTTTCTAACATCTAGAAGTGTCCTTACCATCACAGTGCTCTCTAGGAAGTGATAAATATCTTCCCTAGACTGCGGCCTTCCAAATCCACTCAAAACTAGGATCTATGGCCTGCTATGTTTCTCTGTCCTTTGACAAAAACCAGAAAACTACAAGCTAAAATGGTTCCCACCAGCACTGTTGACAGCACAAGCCAGTAACAGCCAGTTTAACCATGAATCAGAATCTCTGTCATCAGAAATTAAAAATACTGCAGTCACATACCCTGATGCTTGATGGTGAAAAAAAAGACACACATACATTTGTCACTGGAATTGCTATGGAAACCTTTATCATGCACCAGGCACTGGGAAATTTCAGGCTGTTACTACATCACGTCAATGGACGTGCCACACAAAGGAAAACAAGAATCTCATGAAAACAAGTATCAATCATTAACACTTTGTCCATTTTTAATGCAGACTTGGACAGCTGCCAAAGAGAAAGGAGAAGCATCTGTGAGGCTGCTGTATGTCAAAGTCCCACACAGAGAGTGCTCATGTGTGCTGACATGAGAGACAAAGCATGTTGGGCTAGAGATGGGCCAGGGAGAGGATACTGCCCCAAAGAAGGAAACAGTTGGCTGGCTGAGACCAAGTCAAGCAAAACACCACCCCACCCCACACTTACAGTCTTTAATAGTTTTAGTTCAGCAAAATGTTTTTAAAGGATTGTTTTGTCTTCCTTCACCATGATATTAAAAGCATTGCTTCTAGTATTTACATGAACCTTACCTCTGAACAACAAAAAAAAGTTTTAAATAGCCAGCATTCTCTCTTTACCCAGATAGAACATGTCTTACAGAATTAACATTAGACTAGAAGCTAAACTTTGTTCTCTGACAAGCAGGAATACTTCTATTATTTACAAAAGAGAAAGTATGGGCAGAATTGGCTTGTATAGATTTACTGCGAGAAGAACCCTTTATGGTTCAAGGTAATCTAAATACACATTTATATTCCAGATAAGAAAAGGCAGGGGGTTTTTTGGGTCACTCAAGAGTCAGAATTTAATTTCAGCAAAAACATTAAAGATTTTATTACTTGCTCTTCTAAAGAAGAACATAGCTTACATGGTATTAAAAGTAGGTTTCTTTCTAACAGAAAACCAAAATCATAAGAAGAGACTTTATTTTTTTAAAGATTAGGCTAGAAATTCTTTAGTTTCTTATTGTGGTCTTTACTTTTCAGAAATGCAACAAAACCATAAGCTTCTTCTGGAAGAAAAAAAAAAGCTGCATGTAAGTTGTAATTAAGCTTGTTGTTTCTTGAAATGGGAAAATGTGAAGCAAAATTATATTGTGAAAAATTATCTTTATCTTAAAGAAAATAAGCAGTAAAAAAATTAAAATGATAGGAGGATGTGCCCAGCAATTAGGTGTGTGTAAGGTGAATACAGCATGTACTTTATAAAACCATAATGAAAAAAACCAGGGATTAATAAAACAACAAGTATAGAAATTATTAGAGTTTATCCCTCACCTTAGCATGGACTTGCATGGCTAGGACACCAGAAATTTCCTAAGTGCTTCTCCAATCAGCATAACAATTTTGTTCTTTGAAGCCATGAAGACTTTACTTAGTAATCAAACTGATCAATACTTTAAATTTTGAGTTTCTCAGGGATGCAGTTAAGAGCAGAGAAATTGCAGACAATCATAATAGGCTGGAATTTCTGCATTACTTAATGACATGCCAAGGGGTTTTGATTTATTTTATCTGTTTGGGAATGAATTCTGTTTTCCATGCATACTTCTGATTTTTAAGTCTTGAGATTTTCAACCACAGCTTCCAATATTTAAAAACTCCACTTTTATATTTTAAAAGCGCTGTTTCACCAAGTTATCTGGGTCTGAGTTTCAGTTTAAGGGGATAAACTTCTAAATGTACAGCCTGCCTGTAGTTGCCTGAGAGTCGCAGATGTCAACACTGGCTAGAAAGCAATTCAGCATTCAGAAGGGTTATCTGGTGGGGTAGCTGCCTACAGTCAGAATCTGGAATGAGGAGGTACAAATGTGCACAGCTAGTGTCATGTGAGAGCTTCCCTAGGTATCCAAGACAGCTGCCTGTGACCGACAGCTACAACCACAGCCCAGCACAGACTCCAGCCCGTACATAAAACAGCCAGTGGCTGATGCCAGAGACAATGCTGGATCAATTCACACAGCAACAAATGCCTGAATGCAGACAATGCAACTGAGCCCAAGGAGCTCACCATGAGCTCAGGTTTCTAGGTGCACTGACTGCCAGGCAGTCAGTGAAGGTTAGACACCTCGTAGGTCAACACCTACACAACACAAGCTTCAGGGTTTAGGCATCTTAATGTAAAGCTGAACATGACTCTGTTTCATGCCCTTATGTCTTCCCCACCAGTGCTCCCAAAAGAATTATTCCTGGACTCAATCAGCCAGTCAAAATGACTGAGTACACACATATCCTCCTGACACAATAAGAGCATTTTGAGCTGAAAAGGAGGAAAAGGTATTATTAAGGATAATGGTACATGTTGCTGAGGACAATGGTGATAACTCAGAGGTGAGCATTTCCACTGGAAGGAATTACTGAGGTTAACAATAAGAATACTCTCTCAAAACAATATGGGGAACATTTTTAGAGGGTTTTTTCTTCAGCTTGCACCTCACTTCTCTTACACCCTGATGAGATTTCTCTGCCTTTCTGCCCTTGAAACAGTGCTGAACGCTGCCATCTCCATGTGGTTCCTTGCCTACAGCTATCCCAGGGCGTTTCACGTAGAGATGTGAGCTCCAAAGACTGAGCAGCTGTTTACAAGCATTAGGCAAGAGACACTCTCTAAGCAACTGAAATATGGGAGGTGAGAGTCCAAACCCAGAAGGAAAGGACACGGGTGGCAGCACAAGCTAACATCAACTGGAGGGCAGCCCACAGGCTCCAGAATCAGCCTCAGGTCTTCAACAGAGCTTGTTCAGAGCTACAGTGCCACACAGAATTACAGTCTCTCTTCATCAGCACAGAGCCTGAAGATAGCTCTCTGTATAGTCCATACATCAAGAGCCTATTGTGAAACGTAAGTGCCATGGGCAGTGGTCATCTCCAGTATCGTATGGATTTCTTACACAGTTCTGTTAAATGGAGCCTGGCACTGCAAGGATACTGTGCATTTAGGCCAAGTGATTTAAGGGTTTGTAAAGCAATATGTCTTTCAACAGAAAATGATGTTTAGAAACTAAAAAAATCTAAAATAAATGCTTGTGTCTCATAATGAAAATCTTAAAAAAATTACCAGTCAATATGGTGGTAAAGCTCTAACTTTCAATTATGATTCTGAAATACAAAATACCCTCATAGAAATCCTGGTTTGGGCAACTCAATTGTGCTAAGACAGTTCCACAGACCAAAGCTTATCTCCCACAAAGCATATGGAGCATACAAAAAGCCTGAGTTTCTCAACTGATTTCACTAAGTACGGCATTGGTACTGGCTTGGTAATTTTTTTTTTTCGTATTTCCTTGCTCTTCTATATTTTTATAGCACTCAAATAATTCACATTTCATTTTTGCTATATGTAATGTTTCCTTTTTCTTGTCTATTTCTTCCTTAGAACTGAAGTTAGGTCCCTAGATTTCCACGTCTTCAATTACATCTCACAAGACAAAGTTCTACTATTCTTAAATAAAGCAGAACTAATTCAAAGCAGTGTATCTAATTAATCAAAACAGCTAGCAGTGCAATATTTAAAATAACTGAGGGCTGCCTGGATTATAGCAACATTATTAGCATGTGATTAATAAGCAGTTGAAGTATTACATTTGCTACACATTTGCTAAGTTATTTTATCTTGCTTTAAAGTTTGGTGGCAAGGTTTCAAGCCATAGTTAGGAGATTTGCTCTATTCAGTATTATGTTGTTAACCCCACCATCTGGTCAGACAGCTGAGGGAACTTAACCATATGTGGGGGGCATGTTTCTCTCTTGGGAAATACTTTTCTTACAGAATTATGCAATGGTTATCAGTTTCTATCTTACTACAGTAGGATCAAAAAATAAAGTAAAATACTTTGTAGACAACCTGAGCTCAGTGGGCCCTGTATTTAACTGTTACTAATGTAAGAAAATAAGATGGCACTTACTTGAGGACCAGGCTGACCCTGAAAAAAACAAGAAAAACAAAAGATTATGGAAAGTTATGACAAGAATGAACTCTTTAAAGAGTAGAAAATAGTTACAGTTCTCTCTAATAAGGAGCTAACAAAATATACAGTGACTGCATTGAAGTCAGATTTTGGACTCTTAAGTTGATATTGAATTTGAGTGTTTTAATTCAAACTGATGAACTTTCTTGCAACAAACTGATTCTAGAAATAAATTACAATAACACATCAAAGCTGCATTTGAGACATTTCTTATTTTAGATATCATTAACAATTTGGAAATGACAGGAGGACTTAACTGACAGTTCTCAAGCGAGAAAGAAGCCAGAGGTGCTGAGTTGATTCAGAGCAGGTATTATGGGTTGGTTGCTCTTTCATTTCTTTATTATGGCTCCCCTCCATACCTCAAGGAGGTGCCAATTATTTACTATTACTGCTTGTTGAATGAACCAAGTCTTAAAACTGGAGGAACACACTGCTGGACAAACAGCAGTCTTTTTGCCATTGCTACAGGCACCATTGTTTTAAGCAAGTATAAATCCCGATTTAAACCAGCAATTGTGGAAGGTCTGAGATGAGCTTTTGTCAGTCAATCCAAGAAGACAGCTGATACATTTCCTCTCTCTTATTTATCAACATCCCCTTTAGATCACCCCTGGACAAGTGGAGAGGCACCCTTTGCACACTGGGGAACTGTATTTCTTCTCACTGCAATCCCATACAGAGCAGAATTCCAATCCCTACTTTCCCTACACCAGAAAAGCCAATGAAAGTCATGAATTATTTTAGTGCCCTTAACAGAAATTACTTGCATGAAGCAGAATTATTTTAGCAAAAAGTACAGTAGCTGTGACTATAAACAACATGACCCAGACAATGTAAGACAGAGAAAAATAACTTCATATTTCTCCTTAAAGAATTCCTTTAAATGCCTAGGGCTACCTTAGCCTCTGGTGTTCTATGACAACTAAAATAATACTTCAGTTAAACTGAAACTATGTTTCCTTTTGTTGACAGAAACCGAGTATGGAGACTTCTTTTAAATCATATAAAACCACTTCAGCTGGCAGGTACTTTTACAGAGAGCTGAAACTTTTCTGTCTGAACACCAGGAAATACTTTTTTACTGTTAACCAAGCATGGGACCATGGGAGATTGTGGAGTTTCCATTCTTGAAGACACTCAAAAACCATCTAGACATGATCCTGGGCAAACTGCTCGAGACAGCTCTACTCGAGCAGAGAGGTTACACCAGATGACCTCCAGAGGTCCCTTCCAACTTCAACCATCCTGTGATTCTGGGCCATTTTAGATGGGGTGGGAGGCAGAAGCATTTCAACTGGGAACCATTATCAACACAAAAAGCAAATGAAGAAATGCTTTTTATAGTAACTAATAAAACTTCTTGTGCCAATTAAAAACCAAAATAAAATGGTATTTAAATGCACACAAAGGTTTTAAATTATTTTTTTAAATATATGGAATCACATTACAGAGGAATAATAGTAAAATACAGAATTATTGTGACTATCTAATCTTTACATTGAATGCATCATAAAGTATTCCTTGTTGGGGATGCTGTAGTTTTCTATTCATTCCTTAGAACAAAACTGCACCATAGAAAATATAAAAAACCCAAACTTACTGGCTGAGGTTGGCAGTTCAAGTATTAGCTAAAACTTTCTGAGTTGGTGAGCTCGATGAAATTACACATCATGCTGGGTTAATGAATATGATTGAGACTCCTCAGCACTCATATATTACCTCAATCTTCCCCTCACAGCAGGTTTTAAGCTATTTTATGTTATACCTGATCTTAAAATCATCAGGAATTGCTTATAGATGCAGTACTGAGCAGCCAGTACAATAAAATTGTATAAATTACCTCAACTGAGGTCTGTGCCTGCAAATTTTATACACAGAATTCAGAACATATTTGCTCACAAAAGTATCTAAAGTTGCAATAGATTTTGACCAGATCATTAGAGGCTGTCTCCAACATATATATATATATATATATATATATATATATATATGTTTAAAACCCCTAACTTAAAGGAAGGTCTGAAATTACCAAAACATTTCAACAAAAAGTTGATTTAAAGCTCTAGAAAGCAAATAAACTGAATATGTGCATATATATTTCAACAATGAGATTTGAAAATTGACTTTCTTTCCTTCATCTAAGACATAGAGGCTGCTAAGGGTTTACATGGTACATGCTATATGTATGATACAAGAGACATACACACATAACACAAACACATCCTGAATTGAATATGAGGTGAGGGTTGCAGTCATGCTCCCACAAAAGTGTTTTCTACTCTCAACAGCATCATCACTTTGCCTTTCTGGTACTGAGCATTTATAATTCTCTTATTTCAATACAGTCTCCAATGCAGAAAAAGCTGGAAAATGAATTTTTATAGGGCAACATTTTTTCAAGTAGACAGAAAACTCTATGAGATATCGGGGAATATAATCACTGCATTACCCTTTGTTTATATATGCTGGCAATATAACAATTACCCTGCATTAAGCTATAAATGCAGATGCTGAATACAAAAGTACTCAAAAGCAGAATGATTTTAACCCCTTGGCTGCTAGCTCCTTCAGCATGAAAGGAAATTTGCATTAGTGAAGGCAATTATTTTCTGGTTTTTACAAGGGTTCCTAATCCTTCAATATTTCTGAGAAGTCTTATCTACTCCTTGCCCTACTATCCACTGCAGTTACAGAATTTTCCCTTCTCAAAAGCGATCCAGTAAGTGACACTACCCAGAGGTTGCAGCAAGCACTGAATCATGGAACTCATCAGCTCTTCTTACAAAGGTATGGGTAGAAAAGCATCACAACACTGACATTTTTAATGGTAAAGGGTTATTTTTGCACAACAGCAATTCAAAGTGTGGGACGCAAAAAAGGGGCTGTTAATTTTAATAATCTCTCTTTTTGTATGTTGTGAAAGGGTCAGGAATAAAGCTCCAGGAGTTACTTTGGTGTTCATTAAAAACCCTCTAACATGAATTCAATCTGATATCATAACTAATTTGAGCAAGCTCAATCTCAGTTTATCTGCTTGTGTTCCCAAAATGGCCTCAGGACTGCTGAATGATATCAGTCTGGTTCACTGCTGCATAAATCGCCATGTCCCTTCTGGATTAAAATGTTTTAGCTGTAAGTCTTTCTCTAAATTTTAGATAACCAACAGGGAGAAAACACTGTTCAAGACTGAAAAGTCAGCATTACTCTGATTTTTGTCTAATGAATATCTCTTTATTCAAATCTGTCACACACTCTAAAATTGAGTCATTGATTCTAGCTACCAACTAATTGCAGTCTTTGCAGGCATTCAGGGATCAGTCCCACCACCACTGACTGGTTGGGTGCATTCTAGGGGCTGCTGCTTTGAACCCTGGACTATTGCTTATATACTTGATTATCCCAACTGAATGCTGCTTTTTATTAATTTTTTTTAAATCTAAATTACTGTAGTGGGTATAGCTGCATACTATCTCATGGTTTCAGTAAAATACCCAGAACCATTTTCCCTTCTATATTCCTCTTTGCTGGCTTAATACACTATTTGGAGACAAACAAAGGGATTTGGCAACCTATTCTAATTGCCATGATGGAAGGTCTTCTACTGTTGACAGTTAATCCCTTCCTAGAAATTGAAACCAATATTAGCTGCTGATATATAAATTATATTAAAAGAAAAAGAAAAAAAGTCCATGGTGTAACTAAAGTCAACAGGTAAATTATCAATCCCCTAAAAGAGATTAAAGAAAAAGCTTACTGACTGCATTTGCAAGCAAGTTACTTTTACAGACAAGTTACTTAAAAGTAGAAAGAAACCTCAAAGAGCAAAGAAAGAGGAGAAAATGAAAGCTGACACTGCGAGTTAACAATTTGAGCTTGCAAAGGAAATGGGGCTTGTAGTAAGTAAAAGGATAAAAAAGAAAATAGGTATCCAGGGTATCAGTGAAAAGGGGTGCCCTGGGAAGGGAGAAAAGAGAGGGAGTGAAAGGAACAGCAAGAGAAAGTGCCAAAATTGGATTTTCACACCTCTGCCATGGTGTTAATCTTTAAAGAGCTGGGAACAAACTTCCAGGCTTATACATCTAAACATAGAGCTATACAAATATACACACAAGTACAATCCATTAACAAATGCACTGTATAAATTAAATGTTATTTCTAACTTAATTCAAGCAGTAGACCCCTAATGAATATCTAGAATATCACACAAATGCATTTATTATGTACATGAGACTGTTCGGATTTAATCAGCCAACACAATCCAGGCACAAAACTTAAAACATAAGAATTTGTGAAAGAAGGAGGAGTCACAGAAATGTAGTCAGAAGTGATATCCTGCTGTTTGAAAGGCACCACCAAACTACCCTTGGACAGAGCACCCAAGGAGGAACATCTGCCTTCCAATCTAATTCAGACAGAAAATGAAAAGTGAAGAGGAAGAACAGGGCTGACCTCCATTTCCTTGCATAGGCATAAAAGACTGAAGTGGCTTTTCAGCAAACTGTTAAAAATCCATGCTACTGGATTGCTACTGCTATGCTAAGTTATGCTGAAGAAAGCCAGTATTTGACTAATATACATTTCAGCATAAGAAATTATAAAAAGCAAAGAGGGGAATATGTGAGAGACCTAAATTACACTGGTTTTGAACAAATCACCTACCAGCTTTCCATCCATACCAATCGGACCCTGGGATAATCAAAAGTCAAAACAAAACGGAACAGTTAAATCAGAGTAACACTGAAGATGAGGGAAAAAAAAACAGACTTGGGGAATACTGTGTACTTTAGAAGATGAGTAACTGTGTCAGCAGCTAAATGCAATACGTTTTGAGAATGAAGGCACAGAAAAGAAACAACAAATGAAGCAGACCTAAGACAGGATTAATAAAAACAGCATGGTGGGAAGTAGCCAGGCAATAGCTGATGTTTAACAAAAGACAGGTTCAACATGCAATGAAGGAATTGTTAGTCTGGCAAATCACAGTGGTCCAACATAACCAAACATATGAAATAATGCATCTTGCTTTATTATTTTATTTCTGTTATTTCTTTATATAACAGAAAACAGCTACTTAGCCGATTTATGTGGTTGCAACATAAAATCTTATATCTAATCTGCATTTAAATTAACATTATAGAAACTATTGTTAATAAGAAACTTTAGCTCACACCATCCGCATGTACCCCTTAGAAACCCCAGGGATACTAAAGATTTCCACATACACCTTCTCTGAGAAGTCCTGTACCTTACCCCACTTTCTCTTTTTTTCCCTTGGGAAACATGGAATTTTCCTCTCTAGTACTTTGCAAGTTACTTATTTTCTTATGAGTCCAGAAGTTAGTTGCAGTTACATGAACGCAAATTATACAAAGGATTTAAAGTGGATGTATACTGCTGTAACTGAGTAATTGGTCTTGTATCAACTTCCTTGTTTAGGTGATCAGAGGAGAGAGAGAAGGGCGAAAGAAAGTTGGATTAATTTTAAATGTGATGTTTATTTGCTGCGTCTTCTGACAATGAGCAGTCAGGTTAACTTCCACTGGCGATGGAATAAGAGCAGGCAAAGTATGGCAGCTTTTTCGGCCCTTAAATTAATGTTTTAAGCTGAAATCATGAGCTCTCAGTTATTTGCCCTATGCAAATAGGACACTACTTTGTGTCTGCTGAAGGGAAGCTTTCTCTTAAATGCATTCAGGCTTTCCCCCTGGAGCTTCACAGACACCCCCTCCAGTCTGCCCCTCCCAAACATACAGCCCCTTAGGGCTGACTGCTCACACTGCTAGATTTGGATCACTGCTGCTGTGGAGAGAGCACATAACATATTTGCAGGGTTTATGTTGATCTATTTTATCCTTGCTGCATTTAGCCTCCTTCCTAAGCACTGTTTTGGCTTGTGAGCTAACAATCACTGTAAACGTTTAGTCTAAATCAGATCTGCAGGGGTTCTGGTGACTACTTAATCCAGGAGTGTATATTCATACCTTCTATACTATCACTAATAAATAATAATATGTACTACATGTAGGTAGACATTTATAGAGCTAATTCCACAAGCTATCAAGAAAACAATAAGCACTAAAAAAAACTGCTGCCATATCATCTAGTGAGTTGCCTAAGTATCTGTCTTCTCCCACCCTAGATCCTGGACTATGCCAAAAATTCCAGACATACTTAACATGAACAGGAACACCAGTTGGATGCACACATTGTCAAGCTCATTATTTTTGGTACAGTATTGGCTTTGTAAGAAGCCCGTGCACCAACCTACTTGTCAGATCCAATAACAAGTCACTGGGTCTGGGGAGCCCTGTGAGAACAAAATGCCTTTCCTCACTTTCCCGCCAGCCCTCGCTGGGGTTTCCTGTCACATCATGAGTGGGTGACATGCTGAGAGTGCAAAACAGGTCATCAGTATCCTGGCTGTCTGCATGACCACTGCCTTATTTATGTGCTGACATCCTAGGGAACTTTGTGACTGCTGGGACAACCTACACTATCTTTCAGATGTTATCTCTGATAAGTCCTTCCCTGGTAGCAAGGAAGAAGAAAGCAACACTATCCAGTGGATTAAAATGGTAGAGCTTTTATTATTAGGTTTTCTCCATGCCTCTTGATTCCACACATGCAGCACATATGTAACACTTACTAATTTTCTCATAATTATTTAGCAAATTTCTAAATACAGTTCTATACACCCCCAAAATTAGGGCATTTCTAAGTTATTAGTTATCCCAGATTTTTTCTAGCACTGGGTACTACAGGATATTTATCTAGTAATATTTACACACACAGTCTGCTGCAGGTACAGAAACAAAGGCTGAGCTAAACTCTCGCTATGAATAACTTTATTTCTTGAAAACAAGCTAGAGATATTACCAGTAAAACACTCAACAGCAAGGTTGTGGTAAGCATATAAAGTTCCTCGCAGGGCTTCGTGGGACAGCAGATAAGTTTAACTGTTAGGTCCACAGTAAGCTTAGCCCAAAAGATTTAAATACTCTTATGATGAATGAATGCAGGCAATGATCATGCAAGTATTTGCAGAAGGAAGGAAGGGTGTTAAACTGGTTTACAGGGACCATTCAACAGCTCTCACACCTGCCTTAGTGATTGATTGTCAATATAAGCACCGTTTTTAGGCAATGTTACTTTATCATAGGAAAAAGAAATACGATTTGTGCTTCTTTACAATGACAGGTGTTTTAAAACTACTATTGGATTTTTGCCTGCTCTTTATCCATGCTACATAGCTCCTGTACTTGAATTAAAGGACTGTATGTATCATCTTGAAGACTCTCTGAAAGAAGATTCAGAAATTCCCAGCAGACTGTAGAGAAGCATCTGCTTCTCTACAGGAATAGAAAATTATAGGTATTTCTCCCATGACTCCATTTTTACCAGAGCTATTTGGTCTGACATCTCAAAATGTCTTCTGGGATTTGCTTTGTTGAATACAGGAAGAAAGCAAAACTGTCTTGAGACACATTGCCTTCCAGAAGAAAAAAATACTGTGAAACAAAATACTATTCCTTCATTATAAAAATACTGACTCTTAAACAGTCAAACAGGCAATTTCTTTCCTTCTTTCCTCAATTACTTCTTTCTAGTGCTAGAAAGAGAGAGAAAACACTTTTTAAAAAAAATATAAAAGATCAGAATATCCACAAAAAATACAGGCTTGATGACAAAGATGAGCTGAAATAGTACATGATGTTGCTTCAGGATGTACTGAGAAAAAGCCTATATATGACAATATTTATTGAAATTCATTACAAGATTGCCCTGGAATTCCAAGTAGTTTTCTTGAAATAAGGAAAATTTAATTTTTTCCTTAATTTTTAGAGAAAGAATGCAAGCCAAAGTCTGTCTTTGACTTAACCCTCAATGTCTTCAGAGCCACGCTATGTAGATCAAACTACGTTCTACAACATAACTGCCACTACAGATTAGCAAGTAATTTTTGTCAAGAAGTACCAAATATATGGTCTTCCCTAACACAATCCCTGTAGTGCAGTTTAAAAAACTAGACAAGACAATGAATCATGAAGAACTGGATGAGTAGGTTTAGACAACACATGTACACTAAATATTTTTTCACTTACTGCAGATAGTACAGATGGTACTAAAAGTGTTTCTTCTGGACTGTGCATTTCCCCTCTAGGTTTCCACTACCACTTTTAAATATATTCTAGGGCTGGATGCAGCAGCTTTTGCTGGAACAGAGTTAAATTTCTTTGCAGCAGCTCATGTAGGGCTGTGTTTTGTACTTCTGCTGAAAATGGTGCTGATAATATAGAGATGTTTCAGTGAGAGCTGAGCAGTGCTTATGCAGCATCAAAGTCTCTTCAGCCTCTCAGCCCACCCCAACAGAGAGGGGAATGGGGATGCACAAGGAGTTGGGAGGGGACACAGCTGGGACAGCTGATCCCAACTGATCCAAGGGATATTCCCCACCACAGTGCATCATGCTCAGAGTATAAAGCTGGAGGTAGAAGGTAGAGAAGGAGGCACAAAAAGGAAGAAAGCTTACATTCACAGTGATGGCCCTTGTCTTCCCAGATAACCACTAGGTGTGATGGACCTGTGCTCTCCCAGAGATAACAGAATGCCTGCCCACCCATGAAAAGCAGTGGAGTTAATTCCTTGTTTTGCTTGGCTTGTGTGCACACCCTTTGCTTTAACTATTAAATTGTCCTTGCCTCAACCTACAGGTTTTCTCACTTTTAGTGTTCCAAATCTCTCCCCCATCCCACCAGGGGAGTTTGAGTGGCCACGAGGGTGCCGAGTTGCCAGCTGGGTTTAAACCATGGCACTATTTACTTACACTGTTACATGCACCTTTTTTTCCCCTCAGTACCCTCAAAAGTTGTTTGTACAGTAGATTTCTTTTTTCCCAAGCAGTACCCAACTATTTACTTAGCACTTAACTACCTGTCTAGTAACCCAATTATGGACAAAGACTACACATGAGGGGTAGGAGAGTATGAGCGGCATTTCAGGTTGGTTTTGGACAAAGTAGCTTCCACTCCTCAAGAATACTGAAAATAGGATTTCTCTCAAAGAAAAATATGTTTAGTGCTTCACTAAATCAGCTGTTTTCAATTTAAGCAATATCTTTTTGCTTTTTTGTTAATCTGCAGGTAAAAATTTTAAGGACTTTAGGGTTTTTGTTAGAAAGTGACTATGTAAGCAGGGGCATCAGAAACCTTTGGAGAGTTTCTGTCAAATAGATGGCAAATGTTATTACTTAAAGCAGATTTAATGTGATAATAATTTCTTCAGAAATTTCTCACTGAAAAGGTAAGAAAAGATATCAGATGTTGAAATTTACTGTGCAACAAAAGAATCCTCCAAGCAAAGAAAAAGAAGAAGGTATGGATTATCTTCTTACTCTTAACTTCTCCACTCATACGTCAGTGATCTCTTTCAATTACGGAATACTCATCAGAACACTGAGTTGTAAGTCAGAATAAATGATATGCAGAAAACAGATATGATTCCTTTTTCATAAGCTAAAAACCACACCCTACATACAGGTGTTTTTTATTTGATTTTGTTTGTTTTGATTTGGTTCTTTCAGAAATCAGAAACTCATATCCTGACAAAATTATGTGACCAAATTTTTTTACATTTATAAACTATCTAGTATAAATGCAATTGTTAGATTGTTACTTGCAGGTACCTGA